GCCTAACCTGAGGGCTTAGTGTGAGTTACATCAAACGTCGTCAATAGCAAGCGCGTTAAAAAAATATAAGATTTCAGTTCTTGGAAGTTTCCGCTAGGGGCTCTGTACAATCCGTCATACATTAAATGTATTTTTTTTACGTAAATAGTCGACAGTGAATGCGTTATACGTAAAATCACACTACGCCCCCTGTATGGGGAATAGAGTCAGAGGGTCATGCTCCGGTTTGATGATGATGAATTGCAGCGTCTAGAAACATAAGTACGATTTATAATTATGCTTAAACAATACCTTTTATATGGCTACATGAAAATCGTCAAAAAAACAGTCATACTGGTAGTTACCAAATGTAATTTAGTTACCTAGGTCATAAGTGCCACTTTCTTGTGGTCTAAACTGAATAAATATTTTTGATTTGATTTTGATTTTGAATGTGTGTAGTTAGTTGTAACTTTTCTGATAAAAATTGTTGCAATTTTAAAGGCATTTTTTGAGTTTCAGACCTGGTCAGACCCTGCCAGTTACACCATTGAGGAAAACCTTAATTGATTAAAATTATTCAGATGAAAGAAACCTTACTAGATAACCTAATCGATTGCTCGAGTGCCCCAAAACTTGCACGTCCGTCCATAAGTGCCAAAATATTGGTCAAAATTTATTAAAAAAAAATTATTGATTGTTTTCAGATTACGGTTCTACACCGTTACTCACGGGACCCAAACAGTATTTTGTTACTATCACTCGATCGTCACGCTTTGATACCCATTTCAAAGCCTATCCACTCAACTACCCGCGTAATTGATAGGGTACCCACGCGGCGGCAAGCTGATCTGAAAGAATGCTAAACCAAGGATTAGTTAAGGTAAAATGATATATGATGATACCGTTGTTGTTTTGAAAGCCAAGCACCATTGGCATGTCGAGTTATTTTCACATAGCTGGGAGATTGGAAAAACAATATAGGGTGTTTCGAGAAAACCGAGGAGAGCTGCGTAAAATTGCAAAAGATTAGTCATAGTTCCACCATGATCATAAAAAAATTAAATAAGTATGCATGATGTTTGCATGGGTACATCTGGATTTTGAAGATGAAAGAAGATAGTAGTAAAAGAGACTTCTCGATTAAGAAAATTGATTTCATAGCTTGATTATTATTTTGGTTAGGGCTATTTAATTTTCACACCATCCACAACTTCCACAAGAGCCTATATCAGTCAGATTAACTAAAACTAAACTGAATTTTACAGGTCTCGAACCAGGTCGGAACCGTCAACTTTTCACAAGTGACTGGAATAGGCATTTTTACAAAATTATTATTTTGTCCTTTCAACGATATCTCTTTAACAGAAACATTGGTAACAATAATTTTACTTCGGTAGCATTATAAACTCCTTCACTCTTTGAAAATCACCGGACTTTCCCAAAAATGCTCCAAACAAAACGTCATGTTTTTATGACATCATGACGTGGTGAGCCTACTTTAAAAATAGGGTGGAATTTTGTAATGCCACCTAAAGGGAAAGTACCTACTCTTAGTACTGTAAGATATAAACTTTTACCAGAGTTTTTTCTATGCTTTTACTCAAAGAAAAAAATCCTTTATTTTTGAAAAGAAAGTGAACTTAAAAATTTCCATTGCTTCGAACCCGCAAATCGAATCGACTAAAATCTACCTACCTACTAATCTCTGACTTTTCAAAATTATAGGAATGTTTTTTTTAAGGAAAATTTCTATACAGTATTCTGTAGGTATTGAGAGTAGGTACCTACTTTACTTACTTTATCCCTTCAGGTAGCACTGAACTGCACTGACTGGAACTAAACCCGCCATACAGTGGCGGCGTAGCATGGATTGGCACCCGGGGCGAGTTCAAAGTAAGAGCGCTTTCAAAGTACCTAATGAAAATTTAAAAAGATTTAAGCGCGCCAAAGTTCAAAAGAAGAGCCCCGTGACATCAAGGAGTGCTTCATAAAAGTGTAGCACTTTGTGACGTCACGCGGAACTTCAACTCATCATAACTTAGTAATTAGTTATGTAGGTAGGTACATATTTGTTTGATTGGCAAATTAAAAAATACTTACCTGTCCAATATTTTTTGATAATTTATGAATGACGGACTAAAAGTTTTTTTTAGGAAACTAGCCTACTTAACTAGGTTCTGGAGTGGAGGCCGCGCACCGGAAAACGCAGCATGGGACGTACAGTCGTCCACCAACAAGGTGGACCGACGACATCATAAAGGTAGCAGGAAGGCGTTGGACGCAGGCCGCTACCTACCAATAGATCAACATGGAAATCATTGGGGGAGGCCTATGTATGTAAGTAGAGGAGGTCGTTTGCGAAAAGGTAGAAGCTATTCAGTGTAGGTATTAGAGGTATTAGTCCGGCACTGAAATAATATTGTGTTATTTAAAATGGTGCTTAAAGGCTATGAAATAAATTATACTGTACTATTTTAATGGTTTTTTTTTAATTGTGTGTTTTTTTTTTAAATTGCCTTCCTCGCAGAACTTTTGCGTACAATTTCTAACAAATTCTATTTTCGGACAAACGCCCCCATTTAACGCCCCAATCAAGAAAAGAGAGGCATTGTACATTGGCATATTTTCTAAGTATAACGCCATCTACATTTTAGAACAGAAACTTAATAATACTACGTATGTTCTTGTACTAAAACCAACTTAAAGATTAATAATAAGTATACGCCGTTTTTCGTTTTTAAATTGTCCCGAGTTAATTTGAGATTACCTAAGTTGAAGTCTCAAAGTTTATTTACATTCGATTCAGAAATGAACATTTTAAGTTCATTCTAAAAATTTCAATTAACACATCACGGGATAGTCGATAATTAAATCCTTATAGAAAACACTATTTCATACCACTCAAAAAAAAAAGAAATGCACAAAAGGCTGCATTTTATAGTGAATAAAAAACCCAACAATGATAAATGATTTTTTTTTGGTTCCATACGTTCCTTCTGGAACAGGCTAAGGTCAAAGACCATGCTGCCTAGTCATCAGTAATCTTCTTGATTTTTTCATTTCCAGGGTAGCTTCATTTTTATAGTATGCTACGTATGCTTCTTCCTTCTTCTTCAGGTAGAATCCCCCAATCATAATATGGGAATATCCACAGTCAAATAGTGAAACTTATTATGATCCATGTTGTATGTCTTCAGTAGTTCAATGATAAATTAGTTCTTCTTCTTCTTTTTTGATGATGTTGGCAATACACGTCGAGGTCGACTTGATTTGTGCCATTTTCAAGTTTATAGGTGTTGGTGGTAGTTACAAAATGAGATCAAGTAATGATTTAATGATGATAATGGATGATAGATGATGATACCCCTTCCCACCCTTTGAGTCTCAGTAGGGTATTTCGCCAAAAATGGTCAATTTTGCCTAATTTCCTTGGCACGAATTTTATTTTTGTTTTTAACTATTTTTAGTTTCCCATTGCATTAAGTAGTAAAAACTAAGCTAATATATCTAGAAGGGGTGTCATAATTCGTTTTAGAAACAAAGTTATGAGGTCATAAATTTTTGGTAGCCAAGGAAATTATTGTAAATATTTTTTTCTCTAAGTTTTCTTCTGTGGTTTGCTTTTTTTTTGTTCGACCCATTTTTGTGTACTTTCGCAAGCAAACATGCCAATGAATATTATATCATTACGACCTTTTTACACAAATAAGGAAGATAAATGCAGTAGATTGAGTTAAAAGTTAAAAACAAGTTTTTCTATATCTATTCTGATACCTATTTCTTAAAATGTAAATTTTAAACTTATTCCAATAAAGAAATACTCAAAATTTGACTTTACGCCGAATTATTAATGGTCTTTTATAATTTCCTAGGTCATTTTATGCCACGGAAAACAAGGAAATTAGGACCAAAGAAATTAGATTTATGCCTAAAAGACACCACAGACAAAAACCTATTTACCCTATGCATTTACTATTTAAATCATGGGTTTACCCCTACAGACACTACATTTGTGTAAATAAACAATAAAATTAATCCATTGTTTAGTTGCAAAAAACCGTCCAAAGAAATTTACTTTTTAGTAAACAAAAACCCAAGGAGGGACCTATTTATGCGATTTGTCGCGAAACTGATCAACGACGTACTGTCCTGCCTCAATGGCCTCTTGGGACGAAATGGCCGAGTGTAGTGGTGCAGTGCGTTACATTCTAAGTTTTTTCGTTTCGTTACAACAATGGTCGAAACGAAGACCCAGGGAAATTATACTTTTGACCTGGACAAGAACTTAACTTCACTTTATTTTCTTCCTATACGTATTTGACATTTAAAGTTTTTATTTTCCGATAGCCAAACGTTTCTCAAATGTAAAGAGAGTGTTATTAGAATTAAATTACGCTTCAATTTGTTATAATGAGCCTTCATTTTGGCAAACAACAGTAATGGACATAACAAGGAAATTAGAAAAACGACTTTTGATTAAGTTTTTCTACGGTATTATTTGTAGTTTCTGCTATTGTAATAGCAAAAACAAATAAAACTGTTGATGAACTTTCCCATAAAAATAGTTTTATACAGATAGATATAAAAAAACATGTGTTCGCCTGCCTGGACACAGAAAATTTACTGTTTCGGCGAAATACCCAGTAAAGTTGTGGTGCTTTACTGAGACCTCCTAATGGACAACTTGATATAACCAGAAGAATCACGGTGCACTGTTTTGCTTCACTTGCCCACACTCATGCACGTTCACGAACACTTAATGGTTAATAATCCACCATTATTACACACTAATAGTCGCCCAAACACGAATTTGAGGAAATACAACAAAACCGCTAACATGACCACAGAACATGACGCTTCAGATTCCCGCCAAGAAGTATGATAAATAAGTTAGTTGCTAATAACGATAATAGAGTGCGCTGCTTTATCAAGAAAAGTAGGAACTCTTTGTAGATTTACACACTGACGTCCTATCCTATTTTTGACATTGACATTTGACAGGCATTCTGTTTCTGTTGTTTACTTTTTGTGCATTTCAAAACCGGTAACGGAATTCAAAAAATAGAAAATCGTGTTTTTGTTTCAGTTAAGTTTAATTTAAAATATGGAAAATATTTTAAAGCTGGTTCAAGAGAGTTATCCCAAATTCTTCGTGCAGAAACAAAAAAGTCCTAGCTATGTTCAAATGTATACTAAAAACAACAATGATATTGCGATCGTTTATTTCAAGGTAATTTTTAATTCTAATAAAAGATAATTAATATGCTAGAAAGCACATTAGACTATAAATATTTAATAGTGATTTCTTAGCTTGCTTGCTGCAGCTTGAAATATGAAAATATCTAACATTACTAAATATTTTTAGAACAAGCAAACCTTTACCAGTATTGGAAATAATCCTCAAAAGAACAGTGAAGTTATAGGTAAGTACTTAATTAGATGTACTATTGATTGCAACATAATTATTGTATAGTTTCTGTTTCTAACATAGTTCTTTAAATGAAACTTGTGCTGTTCTAGATGAACTAGACTTGACTGGTTCCCCTCTCAAGCTGGATTTGAGTCTTCACACAATTCTGGATGATACTCTCCTGACAGATGAACCCCAACTGTGGGCAAAGGAGGAAGCATTGCATTATCCTCTTAGTATTGAAAAAGCTAGGTAAGTTATTACTTATAATTACTAACTAGTAAAAATGAAAAACACTGACTTACTTCTTAACCAAGTAAAACAGTTAGCACCTCATTTAAATTAAAGTCTACATAATGTTTTATTTTTAATAATTTGTCTAAAAATATTTCTGTAGGTAGGTACCTACTTAATTTTTTCTATAGTATGACATAGTTTTTTTAAGTCAAAGTATTTTTTTATTTTCTAGGAGAAATTTATGCAGTCTAAAAGTCTTAAAAGTGAAAAATGCAGTCTTTAAAGACTGTATTAATGAGATCAGGATTATAATATTTAAATATTAAAAAATAAGATATAAACATTTTTTTTTAGAGTATCAAATTTTGTTCAACTTCAGATGTGATGTATACCAATATTTATTAGAATTTTTTTCATATTTTCAGGGAAATAGCAAATCTATACAACAGCTGTCTAACTCAGTGTACCAAGGAGGATTCCTTACCAATGTGGATTCTCACAAACCCTTCCGAAGAAGGCCATCCTCTGCTTCTTACAATGCAGTCAGATTCCCATCACTTTGCCAGAGGTATTGTGGTGTATGATGGAGCTTTGCCTTTGGAAGATGTGGAGTTTTCCAGTTTGATTGATGCATACACTCTGCAAGAAAAAATATCTGCAGATATGGTAAGCTTTTTTGTTATTTGTGCCAAATGACGTCCACTGCTGGACAAAGGCCAAGGTTTTCCATAATGAACGGTCCTGCGCTGCCCGCATCCAGGCTCTTCTCGCGGCCTTTACCACCTCTATTGATTATTCAATATTTCATTATCTTACAGATAAAAATATCCTTAGACTGCAAGTACCTCATCTCCGGAATCTCATACGGTTCCCACAACACCGATGAGCTGTTAAACGCTCCGCACAGCGGGCTCACAGAACTCCGCTGTGAATGGTCCGGGAAGGTGCTTAAGACACCTTTTATTAGCTGCAAAGTATACTTTGTAAGTAAATAAGTAACTTCTTGCAATTCCTTATGTTATAGTTACATTATTTATGTAATAGGTACCTTAACTTGCCTTCACCAAAGAACATTAACTGCTGGACTCACCAAAGGATTTTTACAAATGACCTGCCCTGTGTCCTGTTCACTAGATCGTCAGTCTGCCTAGCAGGAGGCTCCTTTGGTTGTCACACGAAAAAAATCGGCATCAACAGTTCTAAAAACTATCTATATACATAGGCTCAAATGTTATTATTAATGATATTGAGTTTCATTCTGAGTAGTATGTATCAGTATTTGAAAACCTAGTAATTTATATGTATAGCATTTATCATAAAATAATATAATAGTATTTTATCTGTTTCAGGAACAAGAAGTAATAATAGGACATCTAGCCAGTCCCTGTAATGCAATCTGGAAGTCTGTCTGTTCGTTGCACAGTATGAACCAGCTATTAGTGGACATGACGGCTGCAGGATACAGCTCTGTTAACCTAGAAACAGCCACCATTAGGTAACATAAGATCAGTTTTATTGTAATTTTACTAACCACATAAGTCTGTGTACCTACTAAGAAACTACAAATTTATCTTTGACTGATTTTAAAGTGAAATAAGTAACTGAGTTTGTTCCAGACTCTTTGACCCAGTATATCAAGTTACCATAAAATGATCAGGGTGGAAAAAAATCATGATTTTTTTATTTTAATCAAAGAAATCTGATTTTTAAAAAAAACGTGATTTTTTTTTTATTTATATTGATTTATTTGATTTTTATTACATTTTGCAATCATTGCCTTAGTTTTTCATGCGGAAAACATGTTTATTTAGGTACAACTGAGGTATAGTACTGGGAACAAGCCAAAAAAAGTAAAATATTGTGTAAGATGGTATGTCATATTTTTACTGAAACAAGAAAAAATTTTCGTCAAAAACAGTTCGTCTTAAGTGGTGTCCGTTTCCATTACTAAAACATGAATATTTTAATACAATTATCATTTATTTTTTTCGCAAAAAGAAAATGTATGGAAAAATATTTTCTTACCAATTTTTCATACATAACGGCTATTTCACACTTGAACACCTAAATCAACATTGTTTTCGAACATTATAGTTGATTATATTAATCCTTTCCAGTACCTCTAGTACGAAAAACTTTCGAGTTCGTTTCGTTGCGTATTCAAAGTGTCATCGAAAAATTTTGTATGAAAAATTAAACAGCGCCCCCTAGGGCGGCTATAATATAGGGGGCGCTGTTTAATTTTTCATACAAAATTTTTCGATGACACTTTGAATACGCAACGAAACGAACTCGAAAGTTTTTCGTACTAGAGGTACAGTATTGCATTAATTCCATTTTCGGATATTGATTTAAATCAGTGATTTTTATAAAAAAAATCATGCAATAAAAATCGTAATTTAAATCATGCAACCCTGAAAATGATAAAATTCTTCAACTAAATTATTTTCGTACTACATGATACAGCAAGGAAAGATAAAGATTGCAGAGTTTAGTCATTTCGTGGCAACAAATGTCTGTCTGCCATCAACTAAACTATTCATTGATCTACAATTTTGTTGACGAATAACACCTATTGCTAGTACTACCTACGACGAAAAAAAACGTACACGATAAAACGGAACAGTAAAACGGAGTCATGTGTGAACCGGCCGTTATCCTCGACATGCCGTCGTCTTCAGATTATTATAATTTCGTTGCGAGTCCAATGACAGTCTAACTTCCCCCAGGACAAACTTGACCTTCACTGGTTGGGTTTTTATTGGCGCTCAAGCTGTAGATCCTGGCTACACAGGAGTTGCAGCGGTGGCATGGAATAGTCCCGTTTGTGACAATACTCTGTCTACTTCCAGGCATATGGTCCCAGGATCGAAACGCCTGGACAATACCAAGCGTCTCAACGACCTTCTCAATGAGACTGAGATATACGCTTACACCGCAGAGTTCCCTCCTGGAGGTTGTATTTGTATCAGTGAGGACACGACCTCTTTGAAGCAGTGTATGGCAGCCATGCAAGCGAGGGGTTCAAGCAATGACTTCACTTACCGCTTGTGGGATGTGCTTAGAGGTATGTTAATCGATTGGAATTCCTACTAATATTATAAATGCGAAAGTTTGGATGTCTGGATGTTTGTTACTCTTTCATGCAAAAACTACTGAACAGATTTTGATGAAACATTACAGTATTATTGTTTATAACCCAGAATAACATATAGGCTATATTATGCCGATCTGTGACACAAAATTTCACGCGAGTGAAGCCGCGGGCAAAAGCTAGTTCATAATAAATCTGTGAGAAGTTGTGTTGCTTAACACAAGGTAAGAGTCCAATCAATAGATTGATACCTACCCCCTTATTAGTAAGGGGTACACAATTAAAAAAATACATAAGTTAAAATGTCATTTCCAGCATTCAACAAGCGTGTAACTTTTATTATCTAATAAAATAAAATCTTATTGACCTGTATTACAAGAAGATTCCCAGACTTTTTCATCAAAATTAAAATCAATATCTATAATGAATTCTTTTACTCTTACAGATTGTGAAACAGCTGAAGAACTTATTACATTGCTAATACAAGCACTCAAATTCATATCTTCTGGAAAGATTCGACCATTCGTAAGTTCACACATATATTCAATTTTGAAGTCAATAAATTGTTATTTTGTAAGAACCAAAATAGCAGCCACTCAGCATTCTTAATGTTCTAGTCTAGTTAGGCCTATAACATAACTTTGTTGTTCTGAAGAAGTTAGAAAGAGCATCACCATTATGTCCTTCCAGGAGTATGATTAATTTTATTAGACATAATATTAATCTCGACAAGTAACTCAAATCTTATCCCCACTTACAGATCGACGCAAACAACAAGACGTACCTCTCAAAGTTGGTTCTCAAACTGTCCCGCGGGCACTCCCAAGCGGCCAAAGTGTTAAAGAACCTCCGCACTAGCCCGCCGCAAGCACTGTCTTTAGTGGCACAAGTGGGGTTTGAGAAGACCATGTGGGAATATACCAGGGTTATGTCGCTGTTAGAGCATTCCTTTTTCATTGCTGGGATCTGGACCAGCGAATCTAGGTGAGAACCTTAACACACAGCAATCCTACTAATGTTATAAATGCGAAAGTTTGGATGTCTGGATGCTTGTTACTCTTTCACGCAAAAACTACTGAACGGATTTTGATGAAACATTGCAGTATTATTGTTTACTAGCGGCCGCCCACGACTTCGTACGCGTGGATCCCGTTTTACCCCCTTCATCTATCTTACTCGGTTTAGATTTTTTCATACAAATGTTTTTTCCCGCTACCTCCCGTTCCCGTGGGAATTTTGCAATATCCTGTTGTAACTAAGCTTTAAGTTTACTAAGGTACCTGCATGCCAAATTTCAAGCGTCTAAGTTAAGCGGTTTAGATTTTTCATACAAAAGGATTTTCCCGCTAACTCCCGTTCCCGTGGGAATTCCTAAGTATCCTATAACCTGCCCAGGAGTATGAAGAATAATTGTACCAAGTTTCGTTAAAATCCGTCTAGTAGTTTTTGTTTCTATAAGGAACATACAGACAGACAGACAGACAGACAAAAATTTTACTGATTGCAGTTTTGGCATCAGTATCGATCACTAATCACCCCCTGATAGTTATTTTGGAAATATATTTCATGTACAGAATTGACCTCTCTACAGATTTATTATAAGTATAGATAACCTAGAATTACATATAGGCTATAATTTATGACGATCTGTGACAAACGAAATTTCACGCGGGTGAAGCCGCGGGAAAAAGCTAGTAAGGTATAAAGCTAGTCGCAAAAGTGGGCGTCGAGAAGACCATGTGGGAATATACCAGAGTGATGTCTTTACTGGAGCACTCTTTCTTCATCGCCGGGATCTGGACCAGCGAATCTAGGTGAGAACCTTAACACACGGCAATAAGGTTGAAAGCTAGTCGCACAAGTGGGGGTTGAGAAGACCATGTGGGAATATACCAGAGTGATGTCTTTATTGGAGCACTCTTTCTTCATTGCTGGTATCTGGACCAGCGAATCTAGGTGAGAACCTTAACACACAGCAATAAGGTATAAAGCTTAGTGGCACAAGTGGGCGTCGAGAAGACCATGTGGGAATATACCAGAGTGATGTCTTTATTGGAGCACTCTTTCTTCATTGCTGGTATCTGGACCAGCGAATCTAGGTAAGAACCTTTACACACGGCAATAAGGTTGAAAGATAGTCGCACAAGTGGGGGTTGAGAAGACCATGTGGGAATATACCAGAGTGATTAATGTCTTTATTGGAGCACTCTTTCTTCATTGCTGGGATTTGGACCAGCGAATCTAGGTGAGAACCTTAACACACAGCAATAAGGTATAAAGCTTAGTGGTACAAGTGGGCGTCGAGAAGACCATGTGGGAATATACCAGGGTGATGTCTTTATTGGAGCACTCTTTCTTCATCGCTGGGATCTGGCTCAGCGTATCGAGGTGAGAACCTTAACACAACCCAATAAGATTGAAAGTTAGTCGCACAAGTGGGGTTTGAGAAGACCATGTGGGAATATACCAGAGTGGTGTCTTTATTGGAGCACTCTTTCTTCATCGCCGGGATCTGGACCAGCGAATCTAGGTGAGAACCGTAACAAAACGCAATAAGGTTGAAAGCTAGTCGCACAAGTTGGCGTGGAGGAGACCATGTGGGAATATACCAGAGTCATGTCTTTACTGGAGCACTCTTTCTTCATTGCTGGGATCTGGACCAGCGAATCTAGGTAAGAACCTTAAGACAACGCAATAAGGTAAAATTATATTCGCTAGTCGCACAAGTGGGGTTTGAGAAGACCATGTGGGAATATACCAGGGTGATGTCTTTATTGGAGCACTCTTTCTTCATTTCTGGGATCTGGACCAGCGAATCTAGGTGAGAACCTTAACACACAGCAATAAGGTATAAAGCTTACTGGCACAAGTGGGCGTCGAGAAGACCATGTGGGAATATACCAGGGTGATGATGTCTTTATTGGAGCACTCTTTCTTCATTGCTGGGATCTGGACCAGCGAATCTAGGTGACACACCCAGAATTCAAAATATGAGGAGACTACTTCTTCCGGCCCGTGGTTGCCACTCAAGAACTTTTATGCCCCAACGGTCATCAGCTCTATGAGCTATATGCCCTGCCCACCACAAAAAAAAACACTTTACATGGAATGATTTTTTTCAACAAAAATGTTATGTATACTTTAACGGGACTATTCCCACCTCTCGTTCCCACCACTCCAACTCCTGTGTAGCCAGGATCTACAGCTTGACCGCAACAAAAAACCCAACCAATGAAGGTCAAGTTTGTCCCGGGGGAAAGTTAAACTGTCATTGGACCCGCAACGAAATTAATCGGAAGAACATAGGAGGAGTTCGAAATTAAGGTTCGACTTCCCTCCATTGCAAAGCGGATGACAGGTGACAAACAAAGGTTTAAAACCTATAAGAAAAAATTTTGCACCACGGACAATAAATATCTATCAGGGTGTCCATCTTATGAGCAATTAGCAACTACCTGCCAATAATATTTTTCACAAAATCGTTTAAAATCACATGTTATACTGGTTCAATTTACAAGTATTTTGCTTTACAAATCTGCAAAGTATTAAAGTCGGTTAAAAACTTACCTATTAATACCTTAACTGTTAACCCACAGATCGCACGAGTCAATTGAGCAGATAAACCAGACGATCCAAGACATGACGATGGGCGGCGAGTTCACTCTTAACCCGTTCGACGCCCTGTCGCACGGCGAGCAGTCCATCCGGCTGGAGTGCGAGTCGTTCTGCGTGGAGGACGCCGCCGAGCTCACTGTCGACGACTTCGCCTCGCTGAAGAAGCACGGGCTGGCTGCCGAGAGGAAGGACAGTAATGAGGTTGGTGGCTCTTAGGGCTATGTCATTATACAGGGAAAATCCATTTAAATGTAGACTATGTGGAGCTCACCTCATATAAAAGATGAGGTAAACGCACTAAAATAGTTCCAATGTACTCCGTCACTCGTCTAAAGTGTGAGGAATGGTGGGTATACGGACAGAAACTCATTTATCAGCCTTCCAGCTAAATAAACTAGAGTTCACGCTTAACCCGTTCGACGTCCTGTCGCACGGCGAGCAGTCCATCCGGCTGGAGTGCGAGTCGTTCTGCGTGGAGGACGCCGCCGAGCTCACTGTCGACGACTTCGCCTCGCTGAAGAAGCACGGGCTGGCTGCCGAGAGGAAGGACAGTAATGAGGTTTGTGTGGTTCTTAGGGCTATGTCAGACATTATACAGGGAAAATGCATTTAAATGTAGACTACGTGGAGTTCACCTCATAAAAAGATAAGGTAAACGCACTAAAACAGCACTAATGTACTACTACTACTTAACCCGTTCGACGCCCTGTCCCACGGTGAGACCAGTGGCGTCATAATCCATGTCGGTCCTTCTTTAAAGAGATATATTTAGTTAATTGCATGACCTACCCTACGGGATATTAGAGGCCCGCGTCATCGAAAGAATGATGAATACGTACTAAATAAGATCTGACACTCACTAAATGTGAAAAATTATGTCAGCCATCTGCTAACCATAGACTTTGCACACGCAGATAATTTTTCCTCAGCTTATTGTATTTCAACTACTGTGAGTGTAGCTCCATCATGCTAGCTGCTTTATACTGCGCTTGGACGAATGCGGTCTCAACTCGAAAACGGTCGGCGCAATATCTATCTAAAATAGGGGGGCTAACGGGACTAGGGTTGCCAGGTGTCTTTGTGGCTTTTACGGTCTTGTCCGGCCAAATATTGGCTTGTCCGGCCTGTCCGGCTTTTGTTAGGCTTTTTATGTGGCTGCTGCGCCAGGCGAAAGTCGAGCTACCTACAGAATAATATCAAGCGCACGCATCAGGGTGTTAGGCAACCGTTTATGATAATACTCACTCGTGAGCTATGACACTAATTGCAATTGCAATAAATGGGACTATTAGTAATTTGGGCAATACAAATTGCTAATAATCTTTAAAAAATATATTGCAAAATGGCACCAATTACAACTACACAAGATACCAGTGTTAAGTATGATGATCTCTAATCAATTCTGTTTCATAGGTGCCGCTGATAGCCGACGAGATCGACATAAGTCCGTGGAAGAATCTACTGATGAAGTTTGCTCAAGTCCATGCCTGCTTGGAGCATTTGTATCGAGCGGAGACTTGCTTGAGAGCTGATATTGGTAAGATATTTCACCAAATCAATTATGATAAAATCAGTCTTATAGATCGTTTCATTCACAAAGACGCGCACCACCAATTTTTGGTCGAGGGAAGCGCGGGGTGCGGGGAGTTAGATCCGAGCAATCCGAGCGACATTATTGTAGTGTGCGTGTGCACTTATGGATAATTTAGCTTTTTACCGATAACACTCAAACGTTCACGGAAGAATGGTGGGGCGCATCTTCGTGGATGAAATGATCTATACCTACTTCTGTGTCTGTCATTTATTTTGTAACCTCAAGATTTTTTTTAATAAAAAATTTGCTGTCCACAATCAAGGCACAGTAGTGAATTATTCCAACAGTCTCATGTACTGTATGTAGAACATGAGCTGTTAATGTGTTAACTGTATAAACTTAGAGATGGCTACAAATAGCCTCTAAGTTGTTGATGCAAAATCCATTTAATGACCAGCTCATAAAGTTCAAATTAATTTGCAGCCGGCCTGAAGCCCATAGCGACGCGTCTCTTAGAACACTACGTGTCGGACAAGTCTCCAGTCCGAAGCGTGGGTCAGCTGATGAGCGACCCCCTACAGAGGATAGCGATGCCCATAGCCAACAACTTGGTGCAGGATCACTTGAAGTAAGTTACTAGACACGGCTGCCTATTCAGTAGCCTAATTCACGTATTTTAACACAGTCAAAATCTCGCTGACGTTCAAAAGTCGTCCCATTGAAAAACAGTTCTAAATACATCACAAGGGTCATTTTGATAGAACGATTACTCGATAAGATCGCAACTCGGCGATTTGTTGTCGTTGAAGTATTGTTCTGTGAATAAGGCTACTGGTCTGTTGTTTAGGTACACGGTTACAAGCTGTGGTATCGGTTTCAAATCCCACAGGGTGTCATGTGATTTGGTGCGAAAGAATGATATATACTTAATTATAATTTACTGCATCCATAATATACAAGAGGTGGTATGGTAATAATTATTTACTTATGCTAGAAGATACACTTGTCTTATTTACTCTGTATACCTATACATACATAATCACCTGATTATTGAGGTTTTCACATTAAGTGAAAATAATATACAGCGACCCATACGCCACCTAGCGTGACGTCAATTCTCTAACATCGCATCTAAAGTGACGACATCTACATTTTGCACCGTACCTTAAACGACACGAAAGTTTTGCTGTGGAGCCCTTTTGAACCCTTACATAGATTAGTGCACATTAGAAAAACGAAACGAGGTTTTGTATAGTAAGAACCATCTTTAATTTTTACCCAACTGCGCCAGAAGGAGGGTTTTTTAGAAGTGAGAACCATCAAGATAAGAAACAAAATGTATTTGCAAACCCTTAAAAATATTGGTTTACCTGTTGCTTATCTTGTTGTTATTACATATTATAAAATCCTGGTTTTCCAAAATAAATATAAGATGCTTAATCAAGACAATATTCTTTGTAAAGTAGGTATACTGCAAGATATTTTAACTGTTTCAATTTTGCAGGAAAAATGCGTTCTGGTATCGAGCAGAACTGACCAAAAAAGAAAAAGATGCGGGCGTGAAACGTGATTCCAAAATGGTCTATGTTTTCTCTCAGCAACCAGTCTTCCCTCCACCTGTCTGGCAAAACCTAGGTAAGGATTTGGCATGTTACTATACAGTACGTCAATAGATCCTGGCACGTTGGTTTGAACATGAAAAAAAAAATTGAAATTTTGAAATTTGAAAAAATATATATATTTGAATAAATAATATATCTTAAGATAGGTTCATTCAGTATTACCAATTCATAAAATGTTTTGTGTCAATGTTAGTTTGCTCTAAGGCCCAGTTTTTTGATTCATAGTTAAAATAACTAATTGTTAAATTTGAGACTAATGGTGAAACATTAACAAAATGTAAACTAATAGGTAGTTAAAAATGTACTAAAAGTGAAGCTAACCATTGTTCACAAAACATTTTTTCTCATATTTAACCACCTGTCATTTGACATGTGTCAAATTTGACTATTAGTTATTTTAACTATGAATCAAAAAACTGGGCCTAAACGTCTACTAAACGTTTGCAAAATTGCCAAAGTGTATTCGTACAGATTGTATGTAGTAGCACAGGTAGTAGTAGTGATTTGAAAATACGTCTAAGCGGTGCCTTGGTTACAATCCATCGTTGAAAAGCGCCGCGTATTTGTCAGAGTCCTGGGTTCGATTCCTTGTCACTCTAGAAAAAAAATTGTCTGGTGATGAATAAAGCCCGGTCTATGGTTATCATATAATTAATGTGCTGTCGGGCTCGCACACTCACTGCGGGCGCCCGTCGCACAGTCGCGACAGCAATATAATTACGCGCGAGCGATAAGGATGGATAGCATGGGGTCATTGGACAAAATTCTACGTGCTCGCAGACCAGACTATAGAAGATGTAACCCACGTATTATTTTCAGAACCGTCCGTCGAAGATGCAGCAGAAGTCACGACAGTGGGAGAAGACTTGAAATACCACATCACTAAATACACATATCTAAGCAACGAAGTAGTAGCGAAAATAGACCTTAAGTGTACGTAATAGATTATAGGAAGAGCAAGTGCCATTTTATGTAAATATACTTTGTATTTTTGTATGACGCAAATTGTTTTAATATTCCCCTTGATTTTAGCTTACAGGAAAGGGTCTAATAGGGACAAAAGGATTTCTTAAAATTTTGCTTTCTTATTAGGTTTTGAAGTTGGACCTACCTAACTGGACTGTTTGTCCCAGGTATACATAATTGTCAACAACTTCGAGTGTAGTGTCTCCAACCTTCAGAGGAGTGGGTAAAACACGGGCATTTGACATAATTTTTGTCTTGTCCATGTTCATTTTAAGACCCACTTGTTGAGAGGTTCTACTGAGGCCATCGAACATTGTGTTTAGGTCCTCCACGGTCCGTAGGAGAACCAGAGTGACCGACATAGCCCGCAGAATCGCTAAAATCAAGTGGCAGTGGGCGGGGCACATAGCTCGAAGAGCTGATGGCCGCTGGGGCAGGAAAGTTCTTGAGTGGCGACCACGAGCTGGAAGACGNTAAACGCACTAAAACAGCACTAATGTACTACTACTACTTAACCCGTTCGACGCCCTGTCCCACGGTGAGACCGGGTGGTGTCATAATCCATGTTCGTCCTTCTTTAAAGAGATATATTTAGTTAATTGCATGACCTACCCTACGGGATATTAGAGGCCCGCGTCATCGAAAGAATGATGAATACGTACTAAAATAAGATCTGACACTCACTAAATGTGAAAAATTTTGTCAGCCATCTGCTAACCTTAGACTTTGCACACGCAGATAATTTTTCCTCAGCTTATTGTATTTCAACTACTGTGAGTGTAGCTCCATCACGCTAGCTGCTTTATACTGCGCTTGGACGAATGCGGTCTCAACTCGAAAACGGTCGGCGCCATATCTATCTAAAATGTTATTGCAAAATGGCACCAATTACAACTACACAAGATACCAGTGTTTAATATGATGATCTCTAATAAATTCTGTTTCATAGGTGCCGCTGATAGCCGACGAGATCGACATAAGTCCGTGGAAGAATCTACTGATGAAGTTTGCTCAAGTCCATGCCTGCTTGGAGCATTTGTATCGAGCGGAAACTTGCTTGAGAGCTGATATTGGTAAGACATTTCACGAAATTGATTGTGATAAAACAAATCTTACGTAGGTACTTAAATGTGTCTGTCATTTAGTTTATTACCTCAAGATTTTTTTTAATAACAAATTAGTTGTCCACTATCGAGACACAATAGTAAAATTAGTAAATCTGTCAAACAGTCTCATGTACTATATGTAGTACATGAGCTGTTAATGTGTTAACTGTATAAACTTAGCGATGGCTACAGAGAGCCTCTAGTTGTTGATGCAAAATCCATTTATTGACCAGTTCATAAAGTTGTAATTAATTTGCAGCCGGCCTGAAGCCCATTGCGACACGTCTCTTAGAACACTACGTATCAGACAAGTCTCCAGTCCGAAGCGTGGGCCAGTTGATGAGCGACCCTCTACAGAGGATAGCGATGCCCATAGCCAACAACTTGGTGCAGGATCACTTGAAGTAAGTCTTATCTTCTTAGTCGGGCACTCTTGTCAGAGGAGTAGTGGTTGCGCTGACGAAGTACATGGTAGGGTAATTTCATCTCCGAGGGTAGCTCTCCTGGCGATGTGCTTCCATGAAGTAAGTCTTATACATGTTTTTTTTTGTTCATTTGTATCAAATAAAGATTTTCTATTTCTATTCCTACCTCAGCTACCTTACTCGCTTCAATGAAGTATCGAAGTTACCAGAGTAGTGTAGTCAGACGCTTCGTGTTCAAACTTTGAACTCTTCGGGCCCTTTGACTCGGGCGTAGTATTAACGAGGCGCGGTTGCTCGAAGCGAATTGAAGTGCATGTCTACACTATCTTACTTCTATTAACCTCGGTTAACTTGCGAGTTGCGAAAGAAAGATAAATTAAAATATGTAAATAAAAAAAATAAAAAATACTTCGACCTAAAGGTCGTAGGTGGCGCTTACGCCACCTAGCGTGAAATCAATGCTCTAATATCGCTTGTAAACTAACGACATCTACACTTGGTGCCGTATTTTAAGAACGCAACGACGTTTTGCTTGGGAACCCAAATAGAGATTAGATTTAAGAACCCTCACAGATTGTAATTTCATTTGTTAAATTATTTATAAACCTACGAGTATATGTTTATTTGTACTCATTCAAGACACTGTTTTTTGTAAAGTTTACTTCATTCATCATATTTATTCACTTCGTTTTAATTTCTACAGGAAAAATGCTTTCTGGTATCGGGCAGAACTGACCAAAAAAGAAAAAGATGCGGGCGTGAAACGTGATTCCAAAATGGTCTACGTTTTCTCTCAGCAACCAGTCTTCCCTCCACCTGTTTGGCAAAACCTAGGTAAGGATTTGGTATAATACTATACAGTTACGTCATAGATCCTGGCATGTTGGTTTGAAATGCGATAAAATTCGAATAAAATTTGAAAAACAAAAATATCTAAAGATAGGTTCATTTAGTAACCAGTTCATAACATGTTTTGTGTCAATGTTAGTTTGCTCTAAGGCCCAGTTTTTTGATTTATAGTTAAAATAACTAATTGTTAAATTTTGTGACTAATGGTTAAACATTAACAAAATGTAAACTAACAGTTAAAAATGTACTAAAAGTAAAGCTAACCATTGTTCAAAAAACATTTTTTTCTGATATTTAACCACTTGTCATTTGAACTATGAAACTATGAACAACTATGAATCAAAAAACTGGGCCTAAACGTTTGCAAAATTGCCAAAGTGTATTCGTACAGATTGTATGTAGTAGCACAGGTATTAGTAGTGATTTGAAAATACGTCTATGCGGTGCATTGGTTAGAATCCATCGTTGAAAAGCGCCGCGCATTCGTCAAGCTAAAGTCCTGGGTTCGATTCCTAGTCACTAGAAAAAAAAAAGGTCTTTGGTGATGATAGAAGATGTAACCCACGTATTATTTTCAGAACCGTCCGTCGAAGATGCAGCAGAGGTCACAACAGTGGGAGAAGACTTGAAATATCACATCACTAAATACACATATCTAAGCAACGAAGTTGTAGCGAAAATAGACCTTAAGTGTACGTAATAGATTATAGGAAGAGTAAGTGCCATATTAAGTAAATATACTTTGTATTTTTGTATGACGCAAATTGTTTTAATATTCCCTTTGATTTTAGCTTACAGGAAAGGGCCTAATGGGACAAAAAGAAACTGGTTTCTTATAATTTTCTTTTTTATTAGGTTGAGTTTTGTTAATGTTTCTAGAACCGCAATGCAACTATAGATCGAGCGTATAACGTCGTTGACAAGAGTGAAAACCTCGTAAATCGAATGTTTGCCAAAAACACTTTTTAATAGTAAGAAAACCTCTCAACGCTCATTTCAAGATCACCTATATTCTAATGAGATGAATACAGTATCACCTTCATCATAGGTGAGCTCGAAATGTGCGTTGAGAGGTTTTCTTACTTAATAGTATGAAAAAAAAAGTGTTTTGGTGAAAATTCGACTTACGAGGTTTTCACTCGTCAACGACGTTAACTGAGTGCCTGAGGTATGGGAGCGGCAAAGGAAGGTGTTTTTGTGACATCACACGTCAGCGAGACTTATGTGCTTCAGACTTGTATAGTTCCAAAATACTGCCCCCCTAGACAAAACGCACTTTTTGATCGAATCGAAAATCGAATCCGTCAAAACTCCATACAAAAAAGGGGCTTTTCGACCACTTTTCGACTGGTTTGCGATTATAATTTGCACTTTGTCTAGACCCGCTGAACTGTCCTTCAAATCCATGACATTGACAGTGGGGCGCCACCGTCCATACCGGATCGCTGGTTCCGATTTTTGCCATGTTGGAAACCATATAGTTGAATGATGGTAGCGCCCCCCTGTCATTGAGTTTGGTGGGACAGTTCAGCGTGGGTCATCTATACAGTCTGTTACATCATAAATGTCAGTTATGTCACCCTTCCCATGCCGCTCCCATAACTCGTCCACTAACTCAGTTATGAACCCAGTGCCCCGATTGCGCTAATTTTTAACGTCTCCAATTCATTGGTGCTTCTTCTCCAGTTGTGCTCCGTTTTTCATTCCAGCTGAGGTGCAAATTCGGTATCGCGGTAAAGTTCACGCGCAAAGACAAAACAATGGATTTAATCACTCTCCATTAAAAGTCCGAAAACCTTATTTTTTTCACTAAAACACAGCAAATGTTCGTGAAGACGTTTGACTTGCGTTTGAGAAAAAGTAGCTTTCTTTCAGCTTTTACACATTTTACACAAAGAAGCAGTTGCGTTTTGTTTTCGTTTGAACTAGCTATCAAAGCCACATTGACACCGCGATACGAATTTGTGATTTTCGTTCGTCGTCTAGTCGCGTTGTAGTTGAAAATATCGCAATCGGGGCAAAGACCTATAATGCCATCCATTCGATCGATTTTCCATTCTTCGTTCATAAAGTACCTACTTATCATTACAAAATAGAATCACTCCTTACATCTCAATACGGGATTTCTAAAAGAAACACTTCGTTCCTTCTAAAATACTTTTATATAATCACCGCCTCAGCACTCACCATTGCCGGCAAGCAATAACATATATGGCCCCACTTCATTAGTCGGCTGTACAAATACACAACCTGAGAAATGAAGCAGCGTAAATAAATATCCCGAACACATCTTTTGATCTCGGCTCGATTAACGCGTTTGGGTGCGAAATACGGTTTAATGCATCAGGCGTGGTGTACCTTTTGTACGTCTATTTTGAAATTCAATAATTTTGTGCGTTCACGGATACAACATTTCAAATCACTAAGGTTTGATACACAACTTAGTATAACACAATCTTTGTTAGAAGTCACCTGACACTAGCTAAATCCTGAAACTTATTTGTGATCAGAACCTATTACAAAAACCATAATGTGCGGAACCCCCTGCACTTGGATATAACCAGCACTTAGCCAAGACTATCCTGAGACTTGCAGTCTAAAATCAAGTCATCTGTGTGAGGAATGAAATCTAAAAATCGTTTGGCTTTAATCTTAAGTCTCATTTAGAAGAAACCTGTCTTCTTTAACTTAACCTTCAAGCGGGCGCGCGGTCTTTTGTAACGGCAGCGGTCGCGCGTAAACGAAAAGACCTATAGGGTCTAATAGAGAAATTAATCACTTATTTTCCAATAATCATTTATTATTTTGTACGCAGATATGTTATGATTGTATTAAAGTCTTGAGTAATTTGAATTAAGTTAAAGAAACAATTATTTCATCAATTAACAAAACGCAAATATTATTTGGATCAAAAACCAATTTTGGAACACAAAATCTTTCAAAATACCTCAGAATAGTTCATATATCTGGTAAAAACGATAAAAATGACAAAATAATGATAAAACATAATTTTATAATTTTGGTTCAGTTTAACTTGCCCTCTGAGCTCCGATTCGCTCTCTTTTTCATCTTTTCGTAGTAATGCCTCTGTTATTTCACTTTGTATTAGCAGTCTACAACTTATTTAATAAGAAAAAACAGTATTGCAAGCTTAATTCAATAATATTGGGTGATAGCCGAAGAAATGTTATATCNAGTCTCAGTAAAGTTGTGGTGCTTTACTGAGACCTCCTATGGACAACTTGAGAGAACCAGAAGAATCACGATGCACTGTTTTGCTTCACTTGCCCACACCCATGCACGTTCACGAACACTCAATGGTTAATAATCCACCATTATTACACATTAATAGTCGCCCACACACGAATTTGAGGAAATAAAACAAAACCGCTAACATGACGCTTCAGATTCCCGCCAAGAAGTCGAAGAAACCATTCTTCTTTTACTTAAAAAATTTCTAGCAAAAAAATTAATATAACAAAAACTTTTACGCTCTACTTTCTAACACGATCTTAAAAAAGGGCCAAGGTAACATCATGACTGATAATTTTCGTTCACAGATATTGCCAAAGCGAACATAATAAGGTAAATCATAAAATTTTACGTTCATAAAACTCAGTTTCGATAAATTATTTGGGTAAAACATCCTCTGCCCTCTTAATCCATTTCTTCATTTTTTGATGGATTGTTGATTTACATTTTCTTATAAGTACAGTCGCTGACAAAATTGTTTTGAGATAATTAATTGTTCAATATTAATGAGTTAAATATTGATTTATTTATCAAACTAAACTAAAAGTCGAAATAAAGAGCACCTAAGTCGGAAGGTAACAGGTACCTACTTAAAAATTCTAGAAATTTATAAAAGTTATTTAAAGGTAATTGGTACCCAGACAGCTGGCTTCTGTGGTCTGGATAGTTTTACTTGAGTCTACCGAGTCTATATACTTTCTCTTTACTACATGAGTTGTAAGCTTTTTATATTGATATTTCATTTTGTTTTATTCGGAAGACAAACAGCTTACAAAATACATAAATTGCATTGCATAGATACAACGTAGTTAGTCAAAGCCTATAATTTTCACCTCTATCTACCTAAGGGGATTTTAAATATTGCAAACCTACTTTCTTTCTCATAATAATGCAGTAACGACACTATGTTACAATACAATACAGTTTGGCAAGAATGTCCAACGAAGTTTTTCCTGAAACTTTCGCTTGCGAGTGTACGGATGCGCGCGCGCTGTTTACGCAGCGCTCGCCTGTTTACTGTCTACCACGTGCGCTAATTAGACCCTGATTACTCAATCTTATTGTTCCCGGTACAGATCCCATTGTGGGGAATCTGGAACACTAAGTTCGTTCGCCTTTTCTTTCCTAAATCGGTAAATCTACAGCCTGTGTATTTCATACAGGACTGAATTTGATTTGATGGTTATTTTCGACCCAAGTTGTCGTCATTAAATTTTAATTATACTTAACTAGCGGCCTCCCGCGACTTCCTTTATGGGTGGAGTTTCTTAAAATCCTTTCTTAGCAGATGTCTACACTCTATATGGAACCTACTTGCCTTTCAATTTTGTAGTAGTTTCTGAGATTTCGTGATGAGTAAGCAAAAGAAACATTACGGTAAGCCATCTTAATTCCTTGTGCATAAGCCTATAGCTTAAATGTCTATGAAACTAGGGATAAATGCATGAAGCTTTTTGATTTTTAATAACAATCTAAATGAAAGTGACAGTGTAGAGTACATTTTCATGAATATATTTTTCACTGACCCTATTTGAAAAACTGACAGATCATCCAGATATGGTTCAGCAATCGAGCGCGTGTCACTCAACGTCACTCCTGGCTGCAGTAGATAGGAGACAGACAGGTAAAAAGGTAGAAAACTTTGCGGTGTTGTTTTTATTTTGTGTTTCTTATTAATGTACCTACAGTTTGTCTTGATGATTTACTTTACACTATTAAGCTCTCGTGTCGACTAACCCTATCATACTTAGCCAAAATAATTTTCGTAGCCTTAATTTTTATTTCATTGCATTCACTTCATTTGTAGTGAGCAAATTAAGGACCAAGAAATAATTCAAACTCTGTATAGTCTGTATAATTCTAATTTTAGGCATGTTAATTGGAATAACCAAATTTGCCACAAATAGGCAGCTTAATTAAATTAAACCAAACCAACTTCATTGTCAAAACGGTCAAATTTCGTGTTTTAAGGGATTAAAACCCGATTAAAGTTTTGTATGGCTTCGTTAGTTAACATAGCCAATTTAGTGGATCAGCGGATTTTTGTAACGACCTTCATGATGGCGTGTGTAAGTTAGGGATGTGAGGAAAATTGTCGACATTGTCCTTTTTTTTTAATTTACAGATTACTGAACTAAAATACTAAGGGCCTTCGCTTAAACTCGTCCGTGCGTGCTAATTTTCGATACCAAACTACGTACGCCCGCGAGTTTTTTAGCGGAAGTCTTAATTGTCCCGTTAACCCCTCGTCGTGGTAAGCTAAATATGTCTGTGTTAGGAGTGGGTTCACCACACAATAGTCCAGTAGGGACGAGGTTCGAACTACCAACGATCGCCAAGTTCGCAATCAGAAGTCATAAGTACCTACCTACACTGACACCATTGGGCTATTGGTATTATCGCTTCTTTCCGAATTCTATGAGTCTTGACATTGTTCTTGTTATTAAAATTATAAGGCAAGTTTTCTTTAGAAACGGGAAATTTTAAGATGGGACCCAATCGCT